GCCGAACTACAGCTCCCGCCGTGCCTTGCGGCGCCCCCTCCGCACTACAGCTCCCGGCACGCCCCGCGCCCGCCCGGGCCCTGCCGCCGTGGCTCTTTCCCATCGCCGGCCCCGCGGACTACGCTACCCGTCGTGCCTCGCGCGGGGCGGCCGCCGGCGGGCCGCGGCGGCGGCGCGCGGGGCATGCCGGGAGTTGTAGTCCCCCCGGGACAGAGGCTGTAACGGTCCCGCTGGTGGTACTGCCCCCCCCCCCCCCCCCCCCCCCCGCCCCCCCCCCTTTCCCATTCCCGGCTGGCGGCTGCGGGGGCAGCGGGAAGAGGAGGAGGAGGAGGAAAGGAAGAGCTGCTGTACCGGCACAGGGGCCGCCGCTGCTGCCGCCGCCCGAGCAGCCGCAGGTGAGAGACGAGGGGGAAGCGGCGCGGGGGGCGGGGGGGGGGGACGGGGACACCCCTGGGTGACAGCGGCGGGGACGGGGCGGGGTGTCGAGCGCGGCGTCCCCCCCGACCCCCGGCGGGGATGGGGATGGGGAGGGGATGGGGATGGGGATGGAGATGGGGAGCATCTCCCCCCCGGGGGTGCGGGGGAAGGGGGAGCGAGACGCGACGCCGGGATTGTCGCTGCCCCCGCAGAGCCCGTGTCCCCCCCGAGGCTGTGTGTGTGTGTGTGTGCGTGTGTGTGTGTGTGTCCCTCGGGGTTATTGCCCCCATCGCCGAGCCTGTTACCCCCCTCCCTCCCCGCAGGGGCTGTTGCGTGTCCCACCCCCCGAGCTTGTTTTGTGTCCCTTCCCCTCCGAGCCTGTTGCCCCCTTTTTCCCCCAGGGGCTGTTGTGTGTGTGTCCCCCTTCCCCAGCCTATTACCACCCCCGGAGCTATTGTCCTCCCCCCTGCCCCTCTCCCAGGGCTTTTGCCCCCCTCCTCCAACCTATTGCCCCTCTCCCAGACCCCATTTCCCCCCCTCCAGCCTGTTGTCCCTCCCAGAGCCTGCTGTGTGTCCCCCCGCGCCC